TTTTCACGGGACAATTCCATTTTTTGACCGAGATGAATTTTTCAAGTCACTGTAAACAAAACAATTCGCGCTCGAATGACAAAACGTTCTGAGTGAAGTTGTCCTAAAAAATGTCAAACTTTCCAATGGAAGTGTCAGATTGTACCTGGCAGCACTAGTATTGCCAGGACCCGAAATATAAATAGTGACCCTCGTATGTTTGATTATTTTTGGACTCCGTATGTGAATTAAAAAAATAAAGCTTTTGCACAATGTTTTTCTAATATTCGGCAACAAAAAAAAATCGCGCCTATTTTGGAAGCATAGGAAACAAAATATCAAACAATTCTACAGATAAAAATGATAAACAAGCGCGTTGATTTTGTGTTTTAATTTTCACATGCTGGAAAACAACCTGAAACCTTAATTTAAACAACCAGAATGATCGTATATCATGGGTTATGGTGACGATTCATATGGTCATAAATAAAAATTATAACGTTTCTGTTACTAATATATTTAACACTATTAATTCAATTGCCATTTTGACAGTTTCCATTTGGTTTTTAGTATTCTTTCTTACAAAATGGGTTTATGTTTTTGCATATTACATTTTTTTTAATACTTAAATCAAAAATAATCACGATGAAAAATTAAATTGTTTATTTCATTTCAATAGAATTTTAATGAAAGAGAAACTGTTTTAAACTTTGTTGCGGCCTTTTTTTTTGAATGTCTAGCCATTTGAATAATTTTAAATTGAAACTTTGTGAAATTCTGCACATTATCATCGTTTAAGTTAACACTTATTTTTTGTCAGGATGCATTTTTTTTTATTTACACAGTTCTTTTTTATTATTTATTTTTTTTTTCTAATTTATTGGTCTACGTGATTTAAAAGGAAACTATTTATATTTGCCAGTTGACAAACCAGCATTTTAATACATATGTCATATGAAAATACAACGTTTCGCTTTGATTTGAAATTGAAATTTGAAAAATAAAACACTTTTGTTTTGTTTTATTTGATCAGAATGATCACGTGAATTATAAAAATATCATAAACAAATCTAATATTAAATATAAATTTTAAAAATAATTATTGTGTTTTTCAAGCTGACTGAGACTGTAAAGTTTGCTTACATGTATAAAATAATAAAGTTGGGTCAAACCAATGGTTTGTATTGTAGCACTTTTCCCTTCAGCAAGTGAAAATTCTGCTTTTAAATACAGTCTATGTATACCTATCACACTATTAAAATTATTTTCATTCATATACAAAACTATTTCTAGGATTGCATATATTTAGGATGACGCATATATGCAGTCTTTGAAATAAAGCAAAAATTAATATAAAAAGGGGTTAACACAATGCTCGATTTTAAGCGTTAATTGTGTGAGTTAAGAAAAATAATTATAGTTTTTAATTTCATGGAATTTACCGTTAGCTTTTTGCGTTTATAAAAATTTGGAAAAGCTTGCGGTTTCGGAAATATAAGGTGTCAAAAATTCAAATTTTACGAATTTCAAGAGGCAATAACTTGAGAGGGGAAGGAGATTGAAAAAAATTTTCTTCTAACGAAATGAACTATTTGTTAATGTCTAAAAGCCCATAAAATTTCAAGCTTCTACAGGCTGGGGTCTAGAAAATAAACGACATCAAAAATTTGGAAAAAACAGACTTTAGATAACGGTAAATTTGAGCGGCCATTTTGTTTTTCTAAAGTTAACCTTTAGTATACCCCGCTAGGGGAAGCAAGCCACTGCCTTTCTGCGTTTGCAAAATTTGAAAAATCCTTATGGTTTCATTGCACTAAATAGTTAAAGAATGGCATTTTTAGGGTTTCGGGGGGGTATAACTTCTAAAGGGGGGGAGATAGATAAAAATTTTGTTCTACGAAAATAAGTTTCTAGTAAAAATCTATGTACGTGCAAAATTTCAGCTTTCTATCTTCAAGGGTGTAGAAGTTTTGTAAACAGACACACGGACAGACGGACGGACGGACGGACGGACGGACGGACGGACGGACGGACGGACGGACGGACGGACGGACGGACGGACGGACGGACGGACGGACGGACAGAGTGAAACTAATAAGCACTTTTTTTCAAAATTTTTTTGGAAAAGTGCTAAAAAGCATGCAATATAATGTGATTACATGTTTTATGAAAATGTTTAAACTATATAATATACGTTTATAACATAACATTTATTTGGGTTATCCGAAACAAACCATTTTGCGATTTCCATAATTTCAAGTTATTTAATGGAATTATGTGTAATATACAAAGTTTACTGTCTTATCCTTTACACAATTTAGGATAGTTTGGCGAACGTTTGTGTAGATTTTGCCATGACGAAGATGAGACGACCGAACATATTCTCTGTTTTTGTGAAGCATTTATCAGGTGCTTCACAAAAACAGAGATGTGGGTGGTGGCGCTTCTGTATTCGGTGGTGGCGAATCTTAAATTACGTGAGAATTACAGGCTTAGTTGTCGCTTTATAAACGGCGGGATGTTACAATAAGTCTTTATAACCTTTGAAATTTCAATTCGTATTAAATTTCGAATAATAGGTTCAAATAGTATTAAATTAAATAAATTAAAAAATACATTATTAATATCCTATAGTTGTAAAGAAATAAACTACACCTGTTTTTAATTCCATATAATTATGTATGCATTCCTTTATATTATTATTGTTTTTTCTTCTTTTTTAATTTTAATAATTTTTGTGTTTTGTCAACACTTGTTTTTTTATTAACAAATGTTTATTTGTTTGTAAAATTTATGTTGTATTGCATTAATGATTGATATATCGTAATTTTTACTTATATTATATTCATAGTTATAATTGAACATAAAAACTCTAATATACATCAGGGATGGTTTCAAGAAATTTTGGTTTATATAAAATAATTTTATTTCAGCTTAAAATTATTTTATTAATAATCAAAAACTGTCATCAATTAATCTTAACTACATTACTCTGTTCCCTTAGAAATCTACAAATCCACAAGCTACAAGCAATGTAATTAACTCTTAAACATCTTAACAATTTCTTTTCAATTACTTTCTCAAAAAATGTGTAATGCAACATGAAAAGTTATACCCATATTTGTGCACAGGAAGCAAATGGATTAAATATAATTGAAAAAAAAATTGTTCGTATTTAAGTTCTTATTTTAAATAGCTAAAAAGTTTTTTTACCGTTGCCTCACAATCTCTACAAATTGAAGGTTAAATTTAAATATCTTAAAATTCTGTGTTAAATAAAAATAAAAAATCGCAAACTTATTTTGTAATTTAAAAAGGAGATTAAAGGAGATTAAATTTAAAAAAAAAATAACTTTGATCATTGAAATTTGATAGTTTTGTCTTGCATTAAAAATGAATAACTTTGATATTATAAACGCTTTTAAATTTTGTAAAATTCCGAAAAAATTTACTATTATATATGTATAGCTTAAATTGAAAATATTCAATTTATAATTTAAATTTTTAAAACCTGAAATATTTAGAATATCACTTTTTAAATTATAGAAATAAACTAGAAAATTGAATCAGATACGATCCGTGACGTCCCTGGTATACCTTTTTTTTTTCTTAAAACATAATTATTGTGTATACATTGTATTTAACTATGTGCGAAGGTATGACGTGTTTAGAAATTTATGTAAACATACATTATGGATCACTAACCAGTAGAGAATTAAAAATAAATTAAAAAAAATTAAAATGTTTAATAAAAATTAAAAAAAGGAAAACAAACAGCAACACCGGCGCGGTTGTAACGACGGAAGTCAAACATATAAATTAATATGTACATATATACGTATACCCACACACACCTCAACTTAAATGTATGTAGTAGGTATGTAAGTAATACTAAATGTTTTTTTTTCTGTTTGTTAAATGAAGCGCACTCTGTTGATATAAAGTAAAAATTTATCGCTTTTCATATTTTGTTAATGGAATTCTTTTTGGCCATAGCTATATCTATTTTTAATTTCTTCGAAAAAAATTAACTTAATAATAAGTATAATTGAAAAAAAAAAATGGTGAAAAACTTAAAAAGTAAAAAAGAAAAGGGGGAAAAATGCCATGTCTATGAGAGGACTTTGATTTTTTGTTTAGTAATCTTAAGAAAAATTTTGTCTTATTTTTTTTTTTTTTTTGTATTTCAGTAATCAAATTGAATTTCTTTTTGAACGTTGTTTAAAATTTACTATATGAGTAGATTTTCTTTGTTTTTGAAAATAATATTTTGCAAATTAATAATATCAAAATTAATTTCCAATTGAAAAACAAAATTTTTGGTTTGTTGAGAGGTGTTTCTGTGAAAAAAGTAATACAATATTTTGTCTATTAATAAAATTGAGTCAATTAAAATAAATTTAATTATAAATTTAAAATATATTAAGCGGTCATTGTGCTTTTTTATAAAATAATATTGTAAAGCTATGTTTATTTTTTTTTGTGAATCATATTATAATGTCAATATTGCGGTTTTATTATCGTTTCGAAGTGCTTTAATCTGTATATATTTTTATATGTTATTTGGAATTGCAGGTTATACATTAAAATTATATCTGAATTCATTTTTCAAAAGCTTTTCTGTTTTTGATTTTATACATTCAAATAATATTTTTTTTTTATTTTTTATTCGGAGTACATAATATTTAATAATATTTTACTTACGTTTCCTGTAACAAAAGATGAAATTTCAATTTTACTAGAAGTTTTTAAACAAGATTTAATATTTTCTTTAATGTATTTATAGTACTGCTTTATTGATATTTGCATTTGAATTTAGAATTATGACCCTGTAACTTAATAAGTTTTCCAATAATATGCTATATTGTATATGACTTTCATTATGATCTTTAAATTTTAGGGGAAAGGAATTTCTTTACCAATTGTTTTAGTTTAATTCCAAAATATAAAGAAAAAAATTTTATTTAACAAATTTATAATGAAAAATATTTAACAATTTCAATAATTTATTTCTTTTTTAGTTTCAAATATTTATAAAACATGGTAACCGTATGGGATACAATATGTAAGCATCCTGAAGTTGAGCGACAGATGAGAGCTCATTATGAAAGTAAAGGACAATATCAAATTAGAGGTATTTTCGCTGAATGGATTGAAAATCAAATGATGTCGTAAGTAATAAAATATTTTTTGTTTCAAAACATTATATTTCTATTAATAAAATCCATAGCGAATGAAAAAAAAACTAGATATTTGAAAAAGTTTGACTTTTGTTGTTTAATCATTATCGCAAGTACTTTTTTTTTTACTTGTAAGAATTGAATTCAAATAGTAATAGTCAGTGGTCGAAGTGGGATACTCAAAGTGGTGGAATGGTAAAAAAAAAAAAAAGTATTATTTTAGTTATTTTTTAAAAAAATAACTAAACAAAATTTACCAAACTTTGGAAGTAAACTAACGAGAATATTTATATTCAAAATTAAATCAACTAAAAATTGAATCAAAAACTGTGCAAATTGTTACCAAAGAAATGCATAGACTACTATGTAGTAACGAAAATTTCACTAATAGAAAAAAATTATACGTTACTATTTGAAATTGGTCTTATTTAAAATTACATATATTTAATTTTTTGTTAAAAAATTTTTTAAAATTCATTAGAAAATATTCTTAAATTTTAAAAAAACATGTTCCGGAACGCATTTTTCTCTTCTATTAAGTAGTGGGATGGATTTTCAATTATTTAAAAGTACTGGGATGGCATCCCACTCCATCCCGCCTCACTTTGAGCACTGGTAATAGTAGTAAAAACTTTATTAGGCTGAAATTATTTAAAAATAAGATAAGTATGTATAAAAATACTTATTGTGTCGATTTGGATTTCTATATCGGAAATCTTTAAAAGTAATATACATTGTGATTTCTACAAACATAAGGCATAGAAAATAAAGTATCAACCGTCTATTATCATTAATGATAAAATTTCATATCTATTATCATGCCCGATATAACAATAACAAATTATGAATAATTAAAACCATATATTATCTTTGTATTTTATATCTAATGTTATTTAAATTATACGTTTTTGAAATGTTAAAGAATTTTATTCAATATTATTGTTTAAAGTCAACGTAAGAATGCTAGATTACATGTACATAAATTAAGAATACAAAATTTTTATTTTCTATAATGTGTAAGTGTATTTTAATGTATTGAATTTATACAATTCTATAATATAAAACTAGAATTACTAACATTACAAAAAAAACGTTTAACTGCTATATTTCATATAAAGTAACTGTATGTATTTATTTTCAAAGCAGTAGTTAACCTTGAACATTACTTGTTGTAACAACGAGATAATTTGTTATTAAAAGCGCTCCGTTTATTTAATTAATAGGTTTAATGCCAAACTATAATTTTGCTTTTGAGATCTGATTTTATAAGTACATAATTTAAGTGAATTTTCAATATTTTCTAATTAAATCTTAAGTTTACCGGGAAAGTAATTTTCAACATAAAATTTTTAATAGCTTCAACTATTTTTTTTTTGTTTAAGTTATAACTAATTATTGTTTCAATAGTATTACAGTTTTTTTTATTCTTTCGTCATTAATAACGATTTGATATGTCACTAAAATTTTATTTGTTTTATTGCTTTACTTTTCAGACAAAAAATTGATACAGCAGCTCAACAAGAACATTACGCTAACAAGTTTTGCGAGGACTTAGATGGAAAATTAATACAAATAATAAATGCTGGAAACGACGAAGCTAAAGTAAAGTGGACAGAAATATACAGTCGTAAAAAACTTTGTTCACCACTTGAATACTATAATCATTTAAGAAAAGGAATTCAACAAGAATTTCAATATATAAGTCAGTTGGGCGTTCCATCAAATATGATAAATTCAATTTCAAGTCAAGGATATTCAAATGGAATACCAGATCCATCAGATGCTGTTCGAAAGGTTATATACGAAATATCAGATTATGGAAAACAATTACAGTTATTTACAAATGAAATTGAAGAATTTCATAGTACATTAAATAACTTATTAATCCAAAGTCCAAATGTTTTACATTCAACACCACAAATTTTAAATGAGTCACAGCAAATGATAAATGATAAAATTCAAACATTTAATAATTATTTCACTATGTATCAAAGTTTCAAATCTGTTGTAATTGATGAACATTTGAAAAGGTGGCAAAGAAATCAAGCGCTAGCTGGTAATGGAGCTCCGTTTAGAGATAATTTAGATGACATACAAGCGTGTATTGAAAATTTATTACCAATATCCACAATATTGATTGATATATATAAATCGTTAAGAATAATTATATCAAAATTATGTCTTGATGAAAGATATATACACGAATTAGATCAAGTTTCTATAATAATTGAAAAGATTAAACAATATATAATATTATCAGCATTTATTGTAGAAAAACAACCACCACAAGTCATGAAAACAAATACCAGGTAAGTTTTTCTTAAAAATAAAAAAAACGTTCAAATGTTATTCTTATGTTGTTTTTAGATTTGCGGCTACCGTTAGATGGTTAATTGGACCACAACTTGATATTTACAGAAATAATCCACAAGTTGAATGTATAATTTTGTCAGGTATACAATCATTAATTTAAGCATGTAAAACTATAAAATATCGAATAGCATTGTGTGAACAATATTTATATGCTACTATTAGATTATATTCCCGTCAAATAAGTAAAATATCAAATGTTCCCATCAAAAAGTTCAACTCATTTGTTTCACTCCAATCGAAAAATTAAACATATTTGATAAAATTGTACTATATATTTTTGATAAAATTATAAAATTATATTTATATTGTTCTTTTATTACTTATATCTCAATAGAAAATCAAGCTCAAAGATTTTATGAAACACGTCATCAAATGGAACCAAGACCAGGTTCGTCTGGAGAAATTCAAAATAATATTGGTAACATGGAATATAACCCACAAAATTCAAATCGACACTTTGCGGTTCATTTTAGGTATGTTTTTATATTAAATAGAAGAACAAAAAATATAAATTTTTTTCAATTTCTAGAAATATGCAATTGAAAAAAATAAAGCGTACGGAAAAAAAAGGTACTGAAAGCGTTATGGATGAAAAGTTTGCTTTATTGTTCTATACAACTGTAGATTTTCATAACAATGGCCACATTCATAGCGGTCCACATTACAAAATAACAGTAAATTAAATTTTTTTGAGTAAAATACACTAACTTAAATTTGTCGATAAATTTTTTTTAGGCGTGGACATTGTCATTACCTGTTGTTGTAATTGTTCATGGAAACCAAGAACCGCAATCATGGGCAACAATTACATGGGATAATGCATTTTCAGATATTATAAGAAATCCTTTTCAAGTGCCAGAAAGAGTAAATTGGAGTGATTTATCAAAAGCTTTAAACACAAAATTTTCCAGCAACACTGGTAGACAGTTAACTCCAGAAAATTTGAACTTTTTGTGTAAGTAGTAAAATATTGTCATAAACAACCATTTAATAAAATTATTTGTTAAAAATTTTTATATACAATTTTTAGATGAAAAAATATTTTGGCATAATGAAACCAATACTGATAGCAAGTATGTTACTTGGCCACAATTTTGTAAAGAACCTTTAAAAGATAGATCTTTTACATTTTGGGACTGGTTCTACCACACAATGAAACTAACAAAAGACCATATATTGAAACCTTGGCAAGCTGGCTGTATTAATGGTTTTATTAGTAAAAGGAATGCTACAGAAATTTTACGTCAGTGTCCTGAAGGCACATTTTTAATAAGATTTTCTGATAGTGAATTAGGTATTTCATTAAATTTTGTTTTAAAATGTGGCCGATTTAGATAATATAATTTCGTATTGTCTCCAAAGGTGGAGTAACAATTGGTGTAAAAAATAACGGAGATACTTTAATGTTGGCACCATGGGTAGCCAGGGATTTGAATGTCTTATCTTTACCAGATAGAATAAGTGATCTTTCAACGTTGCAATATCTGTATCAAGGACCATCATCTTATATTCCAAAGGATGAAGCATTCGGCCAATTTTATTCTCCACGTCGGGGTATGATTAAAATTTTTTAAAAAGTTTCTCTTTTTATTTTTATTTAAAAATTTCTCTAAAATTTGTTTTTAGAATCGGAGGTAGTGGCACCCGATGGATATGTGCGAAATCAAATTCGGGTGAGTATCCCGATTATTGAAAAGCAAAATACTCCACAACATACGATGCAATCACCACATTCAAGAGATATAGATATGAATCCGCCCAGGTAAATGATATTTCGAAAATAAAGTTTATTTTAAATATCGAGTTCAATAATATGTAAATTAATATAATTTTAGCAAAAATTTGACATCACAGGCTTCCCTAATTTCTGACACATAAATGCTATTTGCTGTTTTAAAATATCATTGCAACTTTTATTGAATTTTTGTGAAATACTAGTTCTAGTATATTTATTACTTACTTATACACATGTTAATAGGTAGTTAATCTGGAATGTTTTTCTTGGTATTTCAAAAAACTTATTTTTTTAAATACTATTTATTGTTTAGCAAATGAGTAATATATTGTTATTAATCTAGTCAACTAAGATTCCGGACCTTAAAATTTCAATATTTTAAAGATAAAAGCAAAATATTCCTTTATACTACGTATAAATACATATACTTTATATTGTTACAAAATTAGAATTAGATAAAAAAATATGATTTCGGAAAAGTTGCATTGATATCTTGAAATTATTTAATAATAATATGTACATTCATTCAATATTCATTAACGAAGCTTACTTTTTTTTTTTTGGTTTAATACAAATTTAATTTTCCTTTTTATTTCACAAAAATTTTTGCTAATTAGATGCTTCTTTCCATGCTCTTTCTTTATAATTTCAGCAGTAATAATACTTTCCAGAATAGCACAATTATGCATCTTTAAATTAACCTAAAAAAATAAATAGATAAAAAACATTTCTACTAACAATATTATGTTACTTCTAATATTTGCTCAAAATATTTTAAATGATTATAAACCAAGATATTTCGTAACCACTTGGAAGGTGTCATTTTTTATTCATTAAACATTTAAATTTTACTTGTATGCATCTCTCTGCTTCGGTTTTTTGTTCAATTGAGAAAAAAAAATATCAAATTTATAATATGAATTCAAACAAAAAAAAAAAAAAAATCACAATGTCATAGCGTAAAAAAGAAAGTTAAAAATAAAATGTAAAATATAAATAATATTTGTGAATGTGAATAATGTAATCGTTAAAAATTTTGGATATGTTTTTTTTTATGATTTTGTTATTAGAATTATTAAATATTTTTCTTTGCCTTGTGTTCCTGTTAAGTTTTTTTTGTACAGCACGTATTTTATTTTAATTTGCATGTATTAATAAAAATAAATTTTTGTTTTATAATATGTGTTAGATATAAGGTTAAATTTTTATTTTATTCATGATAAGATATCACTTAAACCAGCAGTTTAAAATAAGTGATTTAATAATAAAAATTTAACCAACTTAGATTTGTATTTTTTTAATTTTGAATTTATTAATTATAGTGTATTACTTTTTAATATCTGTCTAGAATTTAGTTATTCTTTTTTTAATTTTGTTTAATTTATTTATTTATCTATTTATTTTATTTTTCTTTTAAATGTCCAGCAATATATACGATCCCACTTCTTTAAATCAATTCGAACAACCCGATTTTTCAGATATTATACAATCAGATACAATTTTCTATAACGCAATAAATTAAAAAAAAAAATAATAAAAATTACATAAATTAAAATAATTCTAACGAAAAAAATAACTTGAATTGGAAGTTTTTATTAAATATTACGCATATTTTAGCAAATGCGAAATTATTTTTAAAATTTAAAATTTTATGCTACAGAAGGTATATACAATAAAGAAGTGATAGTTTTCAAAATAAAAAAATAAACAATAAAATTTCAACCAAAAATTAAAAAACAACATCAACAGATTAAAACAAACAAAATCATTAAAACACAAAACGTCCTGCATGTAAATGGTATGTATATGTTTAATTTTTTTGTTTAATTTTAATTTGTTTTTAAAATTTTATATTTTAGTTTTTTTTTTCAAACTATTTCATATTTTGTATTCAAAAGTTAATTCTAACCTAGAAAATTGAAAATATTGTTTGTTATTTTTTATGATAATTTTTATAAAAAATGTAATTTATTTTTTATACCTAAAATTTTTTTAATTTACGTAAAAACGTATGTTTTCGATCTTTTGAATACAAATTTGATAAATTTTAAATATGTTTAAATTTATTTTGTAGTTCATTACCACTATGTTACTTTAGTTTACGTAGTAATTTTGATGTTTTGTCTCTGATTATTAAGTTTCTCTTAAAGTTCTGTATTATTACTTGAATTCGTCAAACTATTTTAAGATCGTATATTTAAAATAAACAGTTCTTCAAAATTTGGATATTAAAAAAATATTGAAAAAGAAAAACTGAAGAATGCCATAATAATAATTAACATACTCGTAGAAAGAACAATTAATTTACATAAGTTCAAAAATTAAATTTGAGAATTATACATTTAATCTTAACTAAAATTATGGAATATTAATTACCGTTATGAAATTTAAACATCATAAAACATAAAAAAGGTTGTACGAATTTTTTAAAACTTAATAAAAATAAAAAATTAAACAATGATATTTTTTGATTATTGTATTAAAATAGCATTGTTTTAATTTTTTAAATTTAACAATAAAAATTTTAGGCAAATTAAAATTGCTTTTTAATGATCTACAAATATTTATCAAAAAAAAATTTATTCAAATAAAAGTATGAAAATAAAAAATTAAGAAAATAAAAAAGAAAGAAAAAATATTTTTTTTTAGATTAATGTCAATTTGATGGGGTCATTTAAGCCTAAATATAGTTATATAAAAATAAAAACTCAAATTAATAGTAAAAAATAGTATAGAAAACATGAAAATATTTTAAAGCTTTTATATTTTTTATTAGAGATATAATCTAAATTTTACGAATATTTAAAAATTACTAATAAAATTTACTTATTGCAATGAATGCAATAAAATAAAAATATATTGCGATTATTTAATAAAAAAAAAGTATGATTACTAAAATAAATATAAAATTACAACGCAAAGTTTAGTATATAATAATATTTTCTTCAACAGAATTAAATTATATTTTTTTTAACAGAATAGATTTAAAGTTTTTATTGTTTTAAGTAGATTTAATTTTTTTTTATTTTTGTTTTTTTTGATTTAATTAAATACTATGCAATACAGTTAATTAACATATAATTTTGTTATTTTTGTAAACAGCAATGTAAAATATTAAATTTTTTTAAGTCATAGGAAAACATATTTCTATGTTTTCATATATCCTATAACAATAAAATATATAAATATCGTATAAGCAAAATATTACGTTTTTAATTTGTTGAATTAAAAATTTTAAATGTTTCTTATTTATTTGGTAACCTACAGAAGTAGATTATTAAGATGTTTTATTGCATAAAATGATACAAACTTAAAAATTACGAATAAAAAAAGAAAATAATAAAAAAATGCGAATATATGGGAAAATGAAAAAAAAATGAAAATAATTTATAGTGATATTAAGGCCTCAGTTTAAACGGTTTATAATGAAATTTAAAACATTTTTAAATTATATAAAAATATATGTTAAAAATTTTATAGGGCTGAAATATGTACTTTTATTTGTGTTACTGTTTTATTAAATATATATATAAATATATATATATATTTTTTTTCAATCTATGTATACTATGTGTTGTCGTGTTAGATATTACATTAATTATAAAGGTTACCAATCATGAATAAAATTGGATTGAATTATTTTCCCTTCTACTTTTTTTGTTTTAAAGTGTAAATAAAAAATGGAAATAAAAAAATGCAAAAAATAAAATAACAATGGAAAACAGATTATAATTAAGTGTTCCCGATTTATTTACAAAATAATAATTTTAAAGAAAAAAAAATAAGTTTAATAAGTTGATGTTTTAAATTCTGTTTTCAAATATTTTGTATAAAATTTCTCTATTAAATAATTCCTAAAAGAGATTTAGAGGCCAAAACTAAAAACGTGAAATGTAAAACTGAAAAAATAAAATATGTAAAATATTTAAAATATTCCTCAATAAACAAATTACAAAAATGTAATGTAAAAGAGTAGATCATTAGATCTTTCTATTATACTCATTGATGTAAGTAAGAATCATACATAAGACATACATATTATAGTTTGTAATTTACTTTAGAGGAATTTATTTTCGCAATCTTTTCAAATTTTTTTGGCAGTCTAAAGAAAAAGAATATTAAAAAAAAACAACACTTAAGAATAATGTGATAGCAGTAGATTAGATTTTTTTTTTTGAATAATTAAAGGCAAACATTTAAATAAACTATTGTAAGATACCACAGTATAATGGTTGTTACTGAAAATTAAAATAAAAATAAATTTTTAAATAACTTTGGCTAATATGCTACATATACGTGAATTGATACAAAAATATTTTGTGAAACTAAAAATGAATGTAGCTGAAAGTTAAAAAAAAAATATTTATTTTTCTTAAATTAAGGATTCATAATTTAAGAAAATAAATTTTGAACAATTACAGAAATGCTAAATATAAAAAGTAAAAAACTTTAAACTCCGTCAATTGTTGTTTGAAATATATTAAATAAATAGTAGAATAAGTAGAATTCTTTATGCGTTTTATATAATATTTGAAAAAAGAAAATAATAAATAAAAAATATAAGCTAAGAATTTTATGTTTTAAATTAATAAAAAATAGAAAAAAAATTTCGAAACAAATTAAAAAAAATAACGCAGTGCAAAAATTAAAGTTACAATGAAATTACTCTATATGCGTAGTATATATGTAAATCTTTGTTTTTTTTTTTTTTAAATTAAAAATGGATTCTTTATGAATAAAAACTAATTAATCAGGTTAATGAAAATCTTATTTATTTCTCAAAAGAATCGATAAATATTTTTTTATTATCTTTAAAATCTACTAAAATATAACATCATTTGTTTACAATATTTCATGAATTCTGTACAGTACAAATACTATTAACTTGTTTTACACAAAAATCTTTAAATAATAATAATTTTCATACAAATTTACAAATTATGTAGTTAATTAGAATAAAAATATACTATATTGGTAATTTTTTGAATATTTTTGATATGCAAGATATACAAATATAATCAAATGCATTAATTAATATTTTTATTCTAAAACTTATATGTAAATTCAATATTATTGTGTTCCATAATACAAGAATAAAGCAAATTTTGTAATGTCTCAGTATATTGTTGAATTTAAGGAATAAATTGTAACAAATTTTTAGAGGTTTTATTTTTTTCATTAATCAAATGCAATTTTAAATTTTTTATAATATGGAAATTGCAGTTTGAATGTACACCTTTCATTAAAAATTTCATAATTATAAAAAAAATAAAATTGAAAAAATGAATTTTTGCATTTGATATTTTGATTACTATATTTTGCATAGAGGTCATCAAGAACTTAAACTTCAATCATGTTTGAAATAGAAAAATTATTAAAATAAATATTTAGTTGATTTTGTACTTGTCAAATATGATAAACTCAAATATGGCAATTTTTAAGTATTTAAAACAAACAATTTAACAAATAATGTAAAAGTACAAAATAATTTAATTTGATTTTACTTTCAAATGACTAAAATAAAAATATATATTTCTATCATATTAATGATGTACATACTATTAATATTAAACAAGTTGTGATTTTTTGTATATTATTTCAAAATTATTTAGTATTTCTTATATTACTTTATTAATTTCAACGATTTTACCATACACTTACGTAATTTTAAAACTTAAACATATTTTAGTAGTATGCAATTAAAAAGAAAATTTTGAATAATAATTTTCTCTAAAACAAAATTTTCACTAAAAATATATTGTATCCATTGTATTATGTACATCATTATAAAATTGTTTAACTATTTCATATTAAAGAAGCCAAATAACAAAATAACAGGGAAAATTTCAATGTAATTATCATAAACAAAGAATTTTGAATTCAATATTAATATATGTATAAATTACATGAATTTTAAATAAAAAAACAATGACCATATTTTACAAAATATATTTATATTTTAGAAAAATTTTTTTAATTGAATTGAAATACAAAAGTAAAATTTAATATAGTTAAATATTTATATAAACTTGAATATATTATGAATATTACATGAAAATATTCAAATAAATAATATTTCCTGATTAAATTATAGAAAACGTTACAATACGTAAATTTGTATTATTACTACATACATGTATATATATATGTATTTATAATTACTGTAAATTATATATTTTAAATATAAATAAATGTAATTATTAAATTTTATTGTGAAAAAAAAGCCTAATTCGTAAAATTTCTTCATATCTTCAAATTTACAAAATGTATTTAATTATGTATATCATAAAAGCATAACTATATACCGTGTACCTATATACATGTATACAGAATAAAAATATAAGAAGTTATTTTTCAAATTAAAAATTAAATATTTTTAGAGAATAGTAAAAAGATATTAGGAGAATTCTTTACAAAAACAATTTTAAGGGAAAAGAAAGAAATTTTCATATTCAAAATTATTAAAATAAGTTTTCATTGTAAATTATTTTACTATAATAATAATAAAGTACATATTTACATTCAGAGAATGGTTTCAAAACTTTTATATTATCTATTGGAAAGAAAAGTTCGTAAATTATTTAAAAACTGTTTAAATATTGTAAAAAAGAAAGTACATATATAGAAAAAATTAGATGCTATTTTGAATGTATTAAAATAATTCTTTTTTTTTTCAGGTTAAGAAAAATAGGAATAATCAATTTCAAATTCATTTTAGATAATATTCAAAATACTAGATGTGAGTGAGATTTAGTAAAATTTAAAATAAATTTTGATGTTGAACCAATAAAGCGAAAGGATGTAAGAAATGTAATTGTACGTTTATCTAGATAGAATGTTGTATAAATATACACTTTGATTGTTAATGATTAATTATACGTGAATACGTGACATACATATAGATTATAAGAATAAGTAGTTAATTTCAAAAATTTTTCAAAGTTTTTTCAAGAACATTTGAATAAGAAAACAATATTATACATATTTTGCGTATATTATCATACACATATATTTTTAATAATACGCAAAATAGAAATATTTCATAGCTTATTTTAGTAATTTTTTTTGTACAAGTTATAAAATTTTAATTGAATGAATTTATCAATTTCCTAGTACATATTATTAACGTTGATATACAGAGAACATTTTCATTAATTATAGTGTTTTCATATACATATTCTTTTCAGCAGTATGTAGTGCTTTTAATTAACTAGGAAATTAAAAAAAAAAGTTGTGCTCAACTTGAAAGTTTTGCAATTAAAAATCAAAATTTCCAAAATTTTAAAAAAAAATTTAATGCAAAGTAACTATTATTAATGTAATAATGTTCACTAAATATGACTTTGAAAAGCTGTTACTCATCAAACAGTATAGTAAATCCTATACTGTTTTATAATTAGTAGTATCTCTTCTTTTTACATTTATATAAGTTTAAAAACTTAATTAAGACAAATAAGAAAAAAAGGAAATTTGCATTATTTTCTATATATTTTTTTTGAAATCACTAAATATTTATTTTGCAATTGGAAAAATTCGCCATTAAATTTGAAGTAATGATCGGATTTATGTTCATGTTTTTTTAATTAACTGAAAATTTTAAATTTGAAAATGGTTATATCCTATTTGAAATTGAATTAATGTTAAAAAATACAAAAGGAAAAAAAAAATATTAGGAATTTTTTTTTTGAAAAATGCTAAAAATTGTTTAATAATAATTATATAAAAAATTTATTAAAAAAAAAATAAATAAATAAAATGAATACATATTAAAATTTATTCAAATCCATTTTAGGGATATGGAAAAATAAACGAAGTATAAAAGCTTATAAAAGAAAATTGAATTAATAAAACATGAGTGAAAACACATGTACTTTTAAAAATACATACATGTTATTATACAAATTTAAACTATTTTGTATATTTTATATTTTAAATTTCATAGTACGTAAGTTAAAAAAAGAAAAAATAAAATCCAACGAAATTTTTATGAAACTATTTTAAAAAAACTTATATGCAAAAATATTCATTATGAATAATAAATAGTAATGATAAAAAATTTAATTAATAATGATCATTACATAAAAGATATTAAATCGATGTTTATGTTTAATGCTTTATATAGTAAATTTTTTTAAAATATTGTAAGTTCAATGTCGATTGTGACCAATGTAGGAAAATAATATTCATAAATTTTTATAATAAATAATCAGAAAATATTTGCTGTAATAATACACGTACTAAATAATGTATGGAATATTAAATTTATTTTTATTTTTCTTCTTCAAAAATATCCACCTAAAATATCATTTCACTTTTATTATTTTATCCAAATTTTGTGTGAAATTAATTTTATTTCCAATAAAACTATGCTGCTCGTTGGCTGTAAAGTGTCATTTACACATAAAAAATTTCAATATATGGTACAAAACTTAATTATAACATTAATATTAACAAATTAAAACATAAAATAATGAGTTTAAAATAATGTCAATCTCATGAATTTAATTGTTCTTTAATAGATATACATGATTTTTTAAAATTTTTGAAATGATCTTATAAACTGATATTTTTTTATATAAAGTATATGGTAAAGTTTAATATGTCCAATATTTAATTTAAAAATGTATAACTTGAATTCAATAGTAATTTTCATAGTAACAGCCAATGAATTCAAACTTTTATAAACTAATTTTTAAATAATAAATGAATATTCCAAAATACCCATTTTAAATGTAATTAACTTTACATTTCTAAAGTATCTTAAAATCATTTATTTATGAAAATTAACATATATAATAATTATAAATTTGAAAAAGAATTGGATGTAAGTTTCTCATATCTAATCTATGAAGTTTAAACTTTAAAATATCATACTTTCTAATTTATATTTTTGTTGATTTGATATTTCAAAATTAATTCTGAAAGTACAGAAAACAAAAAACAAACTATTCTAGTGAAAAATAAAATTCTTTACAACAATTAAATTTATGAAAATATTTAATTAAAAGATTACATGTTTCGTTATTGAATTTGATATGATAAAAAATGATAATGCTTTGATAACTAACAGAAAATTTCAAAATACCTAGTTATAAGTTAATATAAAAAAAAATATACATCGAAAGAATTTATTAATATGAGAAAAAATAAAAAAAAATTTGTAAAAAAACCAAAAAAACCTAAAAATGAAATGACTGTTTTTTATCAGAAAATATTTGATGTAACAAACTATTCATATTGTGTACAATGTTTAAAATAATAAAATATTTGTAATTAGATGTGGTTAAAAATTTTCTGTATATTTTAAAATAAATTAATAAAAATTTTTTTATAATTTCTTTTTTTTTTTGTCTTTTTTTCAGTTAAAATACAATAATATGGTTGTATGAAATAATCGACATCATCAATGTATACATAAATATTCATAAGAATTATTATAATCTTGTTTAATTTTTTAGGTTGCCTTAATATATTTTATGAAATGAAAAAAAAAATTGAGAATTTTTTATATACAACACAAAAATGAAATAATAAAAAAAATTTAAAGTAAGAAATATAAATTAAATGTATTAATATCGATATAATATGTATAAAATTTAAATATGCATAAAAATAATTATATTTTAATATACATACATAAAAAACAATTGTATATTTTATTAATTTGTTAAAATTATTCTGTAAGTGATACATTAATAGAATTAAAAATATATTTGCGACACATATAGTAAAATATATGTAATAAATATATTTTAAATTAAATTTTTTGCTATTTATTATGATTTTTAATATTATCAATTTATTAATAATTTTTTTTCTTATTTCAATAAGTACACATAATTCTGGCTATTGATTTTTTCTTGCTTTCAAATGCATTTAATTATTTTAAATGATAAAATTTTATGACAATGTATAATGAATTTCATATTACTATAAGAAAGTTTTAAACTATAATTGAAATTATATTTGATTTTTGTGACATAGCTATTAACAATAATAATAAAGGTATTTATGAAACAATATTGTACAATTTTATCCATTTCAATGAAGATTAAATATGGTTATGCAAAACCATATTTAATCTTCAAACAAAAACAATTTTTTTTTTAATTTCGAATAATTTTCTATTTAATAACTTATTTTTGGTCTTAATATAATTAATGTGCTGTGCTTTCATTATAGAATATGAATACATAGTAACATTTTGTAATTTACATTGTGTTTTTTATGTGAAAGGCCAGGAAAATTTTGAAATTGATTATAGAAATTAATAAAAAATCAATGAATTTATATGTATTCGTTAATTTTTTTTAATTTTTAAAATTAAATTTTAATTCTATTAAAATTGTTTCTTGCACAAAAAATTTGAATAATTTGTCCTATTGTTTACCTTTCCTTAAATTTAAATTTTATTTTCAGTATACAAACTAAAATTAGAGTTTTTTTTTCAAATTTTATGTTATCTGTTTGATTTCATTGTAAAGTATATATAAAATATTATTTTCTTGTTCTCTAAATATAACTATGATTTTTAATTTCAAATACATGTTACAGATTGATTATATTAAAGTTCATAATAAAATTAAGCGTCTATAATGTTTGTAAATCAAATGGTTTTTTTTTTTAGTTATAAGGCTTCAAAAAGTAGAAAAAAAAATTAAGAACGAAAAACTTTTTTTTATTTTAAATTTATTTAAGTGTATTTTACATGCGATATCGTTGCTTATTTAAGTTTTTTTTTACTCTTATTATTTGTTAGTTCATTAAGTACGAAATATATTTTTTTTATAATGCTGATTTCTTACTGTATAAATATATTAAAAGATATTTAAAGAAAGAAGTTAATTTTAAGAAATTAAATAACAAAATTATTTTTTTATATGTATAGAAACATTTACATATAAATTACATATTTGCAATAAATTAAGTTTTACAAAATATGGACCAAAAATAATTATTATTTGGTTTTGAAAGAAATAAAAAAAAATATATTTGTAAAATTTTCAATGTTTTTCGCGATTTTGATTTTTTCAGCAACAAAGAACATTTTTTATACATAAAATATTTAAATTTTCATATTTTGCAAATTACTTTGAGGTACAAAAATCTCTTTAAAATTATTTATGTTGTCTTGTTAAATTTATTTTAACTTTTTTTTTTAAATATAGCTTTAATAATAATATATATATTTTTTTTTTTTAATTTCGGACAATTTAGGAAATCGTTGCAAGAAAAACTAATAAAAAATAAGGAAAAAACTAAATTTAAATCGTACCTCAGAATCTGCAATTAATTTTTAATTTATTGTGATCAATTTTTTAGTGCCTAAATTTATCTGGAGATTAAAAGTTCAGAGAAATTATTATATATATATATGTAAAATATTTATATATATATACATTGTATATTTTAAAAAATTAAAATCTTTTTTTGTAATATTTTTGGTATGTTTCAATTAAAATTTTTGTTTTTCAATTGTAGCATAAATTTTTTGTTTTTTTTTTTTTAACTTGAGATAAAATGCTTGTGAAGTATTTAAATTTATACTATGTATTTACATACTGAACTTGCTACTTAATTTTTTTTTGAACTAGAGAACATGTTACTTACAACAAAAGAAAAAAAAAAGAAAAAATGAGAAAAAAATGAAAAATAATAATTTTTAAAAATTTAAATCTAATTATAATTCAAAAATAAATAATTGCTATAAATTGTATACAGAAAAAAAAACATATATATATTTAAATGTTGCACAAGTCTTATAAAACATGTCAATGTAATAACCATTCTTGTCAAAATGGCCAATAAAATAAATCATTAATAAAAATTAGTTATATTTGAAGTTTTATTTTAATTTAAGTTCTATAGCCGTTTTTTTAAGTTTTATTCTTAGTATCGAATTATTGAGCGATAGCGATAATATCGAAAAATTCGATATTGTTATTGTAAGCACAAACCAAATCATACAAATGATTTGTATCTATTATAAAATTTTTGAAACTTTTACGATAAAAATATCACTATCATTTAGTGATTCTATACTCAGAATAAGCCTCATTATATATCTAAAAAAGCATTACATACTCCATTTAATTTTTGTCTAACTTAATTCCTTTGAACCACAATGTAATTTCAAAACTGTAACTCTTTTTTTTCTAATTTTTTTTTTTCAAAATTAAAACTCAAAATTGAAGACACTCAACCTTTTTCAATTCGCTCAAGGGATGAAGAATATGAGACTTTAAATTTAAAATTGAGTTTGTTTGTAAATGCAAGAATAAGTTTTTTTTGAGTTAATGTTGATTGACAATTATTACATTCGCTAGCATTTGATATTACATCTAGCGAATGGATTTATTCGTTATTGTTTGTATTGTACGATCGAAATGGCAGTATTGTACGATATTGGTAATGTGTTATATAAAATATGTGTGTACTTTAAAGTAAACTATCACAATAAAATTCTTAATAGTATGTACTTTTGACAAATTCTCGTACTTGGTGACATCATATTTTCATTTTTAATAATATTGTAAAATTTTGAACCATCATAAGCAAATATAATAGAAATAATGAGAGTTGGAAAATATGGATTTTTTCATTTTATTCTTGTATGATTCTTTAAATTCTTTTCATACAAAATATTGAAGCGACTTGAACTTTGTTGAATAACAATAATGAGTTATTTTGTTATTATTATTTTTATTCAGTGTTGTTCTGTCGCTAGTACTTTTATTTTATGTTCTATAATCTATATAATGCAAAATTTCACTCATTTTAAGCAATATATTACTCAAGAGAATTCACTACTCATATAACTTTCAATTTAGTAAATATACATATTTATGTAAGTATATACAATATTTTAGAAAATTTTTTGATGAATGAATATGAAAATAAATTATAACACAAACCATGTATGTATGTATGTTATATATACGTTATGCATTTTATTATATACTTATTTTATTTAAAGCTTTTTAAAGATTTTAATTTCATATAAATACAAAAAATTATTAGCAATATTACTCTAAAAGTACTGGAAGATAAATTTTTTTTTTTAAAAAATATGAAAAATTTGCCATTTATTTTAACATTTTACTAGTAAGAGTAATTTAAATATTCTTAATGTAGAAACTGAAATTTTCTAATATTGAAATTGTTGAGTTTATTAAAAATACCTTCATAATACTTGTTATGAAAAACATTGTACCTATTTATCTATTAGATGACTTGAAAATTTTATGTTAAATTTTATGATAGTTAATAAATTTACTAGTCAGTTAAGTGTGTAGATCAAGGCACTATATTAATTTTATTATTATTCTACAATTTAAAAGCATATAAAAATTTATTTTTATAAAAATATTTTTGTCCAGTTTTATATTTTAAAAAATTTATATCCTTTATTTACTTATGTATCCTAAAAGAATACATAAAACATATCCAAATTTTTTCTTGTAAGTTAAAGAAGTAATTACAAAATTTTCTTAAAAAAAATTCAAGGTCATTATTATGTATAGTAACCTTTTAAAGTATATTATAACCTCTATAAACTTATTATTATATACATTAATATTAAAGAAAAATATAACACGTGTTAGATTTTTTGAACGTGTTAATTGATCATGAATTGAAAATAATGTTTTAACTTGTGCTAGAAAACTTTTTTTTTTGGTTGGTTAAGTATTAATGCTTGAAAATATAGATGTTTAAAAAATGAATTCTTCAGAAATATAAAATTAATTTAAATTTAGCTTTAAGATGTATTTAGATTCTATGTTATATCTTAATGTTATGGTTGTAAAAATGTGATGTAAATGAAAAATCGTTCAACTTTACTAATAAAATTTAGATTTTTACAATATTTTACTATTATAACATGCATATCTGTACTTTCAGTTTTAGTGTTCCATGATTTAAATTCAGGAATGTATATCTGTGCCTCTCCTTAATTATATGAGTTATTAAGATTTAGTTAGATTACTCAAGGTTTTCCCTATTATCGGATTAGAAACAATTTTTTGTTTAAATTAATATTTTTAAGGTTTTGATTTTCTAAACAGAATTTAAATATTTCAGAAAACGTTATTAAAACAAAAATTCAATACTTAGTGCTTAGATACTCGTAGTACATATTATGCACAAAATATAAAAAAAATTTCAACTTCATTTCTTCTGAACAATTTGTTCTCTGAGGAATTATGTTGATATATATTGAGCTAGATATATATAAAAGTATACATACATTCATTTGAGAAATTTACTTCAGACATTTTTAAAAAGTCTTAGTATCAGATCAAAATCAATAAATCATTATAAGTTTATATATCTATTGGTGCTACGTTTTTGCAAACATAAGTAAGTGGCATATTTAATATTAATTTTATGCTAACATCAATATTTTATTAATATTAAAAAAATGTATCGCTGTATTTAGATATGTTCAGGTATTAAAAGTATAAACAATATAAACTAAGCCCCACAAACTTATATGAACATAAAAATATTATAAATTTGCTATTATATATGGAGAAAATTAATTATATATTTCTATTGACAGCACTTTTTTTTTCATCAATGTATTAAGGTACATTCTAAGAAATTTAATCTGTCATATTGATTCAATATTAAAACAAAATTTTTTATTAAATATATTCACATACATATATATATATATATATATATGTTTGTTATAGTTTTAACAAACCACCTACGTTAAAGAGATTTCTCTATAATTTCTCTAGAACACCTTGACAATTCTGAAATTGTAATTTTTTTTTTCTTTTATTGAAATACACAAATTGTTTATATTTTATTGAAATCTTAAATAATATAAAAATTATAAAGAATTTAAAGATCAAACAATTTGTCTATAATAAAAATGCATTAGAAAGATAATATTTTGTAGGTATTTTTTAGAAATAAATTCATTCATTTACAATAGGCTTGCTGTTAAGGTAAAACAGTTTATACTGTAAAAATTAAATAAAAGAATTATATTTTTTTTTA